ATAGATAGATAGATAGATAGATAGATAGATAGATAGATAGATAGATAGATGATAGAAGAAAAAGAATCTTGCCTTGACATTTTAAAGGGATTTATTTTTATTTTATATGTATGGGTGCTTCACCTGCACATATGTCTATATGTCATTGTGTGCAGTGCCCATAGAGGCATGGATAAGGCATCAGACTCCCCCCCCCATGGGAATTACAAATGGTTATGAGCTACTATGTGGGTGCTAAGAATTCAAATCCTCTGCGAGAGCAGCCAATGTTCTTAACCACAGAGCCATCTTTCCAGCCCCTGCTTAACTTATTAAAACTAGATTCTCTTCTCGGAAAGATTAACATGAAAGTGTATGCAGCTACATGAATTCACTGAGGTTTGCTGTTGAGATAGCCTCAGGTAAAGATTTTCACAAAATAATAGCTTCCCACTTTCCTCTGAAATTGAATCTAGCATATATATGCAATTGGCTATTTTAGTTTGTATCACTAAAATATGAATTACATGTGACTATGAGTTTAAGGATTTTTAGTCATTTATCTTTAGTTCCTTGTTTTTATAGCTGATAAATGTTTTGTGGGTTCTACTCATTCAGTTGCTAAGGTTGCCAGAACATCTTACTAAGATCTTCTTCAGAATAGAGCATTGATGACAGAGGTCTTTTTATTAGTCAAGTCATGCCATAACACCTTAATAAATATTTACAAAGTCATTTACCACTGTATTAGTTAGGGTTCTCATTAGTAACAGAACTTATAGAATAAATCTTTATATATGGTGAGAAAGAGAATTTATTAGAATGGCCTACAGGCTATGCTCCAATTGGTCCAACAATGGCTGCCTGTGAACGGAGGTCCAAGAATTTAGTAGTCGTTCACTCCACAAGGCTGGATGTCTCAGCTGATTTTCAATATGCTGGGATTCTCAAGAAGTAGACTCTAATGCCAGTGGTGGAATGGTCTTGCTAGCAGGAGCAAGCAAGCAAAGAGAGAGGAAGCTTCTTTTATCCAAGGCCTTTATATCGCTTACTAGCAGAAGGTGTGGCCCATAATAAAGGTTTATCATTCTACTTCAAAGATCAAAATTAAAAGTGGATCTTCTCACTTCAAATGATTTAATTAAGAAAAAAATTCCCTCAGAGGTGTGCCCAGTCATTTGGATTTTAGTTAATTCCAGATGTAGTCAAGTTGACAACCAGGAATAACCATCACAATCACCTATAGTAATGTGTCCTAAAAGACTTGTTCGACAAGGATCCACACATATGTTATGTATTCTTGAAGGAGTGTATGACCAGGAATACAGCCCAATGGTGAAGGGCCTTCCTAGTAGATGCAAGAATGAAGAAACCCACAACCAGACAATATGCACAGTGAGAGACCTTGGAATACTCAGCCCAAAATTGGATATTCCTATTAAATCCCTCCCCCAGGGCTCAGGAACCCTGTGAAACAGGAGGCAGAAAGAGTGTAAGAAATGGGTGATGGAGGACACCAAAAACCCAAGAGTCTCTAAATCAACATGAAAAAAGCTCATGTGAACTCAGAGACTGAGGCAGTAGATGCGGGCCTGCATGGGTCTGTACCAGGTCCTTTGTGTATATATTATGGCTTCTAGTTTAGTGTTTGTATGTTATTCCTGGATGTGCAAACAAGTCGGTCTCTGATTCTTGTGCCTTCTCTTGGGCTCTTTTCCTGTTTGTTTTGTCTACTTCCACTGTGTTCATTTTTGTGTTATCTTGTTATATTATGGTTTTATTTATTATTGTCCTTCAGAAGCCTGTTTTCTCATGGAAGACAGAAATGGACTAGATCCAGATGAGAGTAGAGGTGGCAAGGAAGTGACAGGGATAGATGGAGGAAAGACTCTAATCAAGACATATTATGTGAAAAAAATATTATGTGAAAAAACATATTTCAATAAGAAAGAATAAAAAAAAGCTGACATTTTATGATATTAATTGAGTGAAAATTTAGGTTTCTGTTCCCTGGTTCTAGCTTCAATGTAACTAACAAAAATTATAGGAATTCAAGTTAAAAAAATAAATAAAAATTACAATAAAGTATTAACAAAAACACAAATGAAAAAAATAGAACCAAGTAAAGGGAAAATGTTTCAAATCACATTTGAGCATTTTCCTCAATAATAGAGATTACAGTTATCATTTATTTTATTGATAACTTTTTGAGAAAGTTTAGACTTGCTATTATTCAGTTTGAATGAATAAGTTCATTATATTAAACTTCATATTTTGGAATACGTTTCTTAATTTCCTGGGCCTGTGTCTCAGAATTTCCTCTTTGTCTCCTTTTGTATATCAGCATGACCATATTTAGCACAGCATAGAAGTGACCCAGCCTCCCAGATGGATCACCACCAGGGATCTGAGATAACAGCTGTCCTCTCTTGCCCTAGTCTTCTTTATAGTTTTTGCAAAAAGTAATTAAAAATGAAAGCAGTTAAGGAACTTTAAATTCTAAATCGTCAAATTTTCTGCTGTGGTTCACAGACTGACTGCATTACTTATTATTTGGTGCACAAAATGCATGTCATTTAGAGATTAAGATTATGAAAAGAGTGTGGATGTGATTCAGCGTTATACAGTTTGTCTAGAATTTAAGGGACCCTGGATTCAGCTCCCAGCATTTCCAAAAAGGAATCATACAGATAGACCAGGGGAGAACACAAGGAAGGTAAAGTGATCAGCATGTAAGTATGAGAGCTGTCACTCAGCCCCCTACACAGATCCAGGGATGGCAAAGAAGCCCATCAGGTATCCCCTGGTCAAAGAAGATACAGGGAGTACTCAGAGAACTGGCTAGCTAGAAGAAACAAGTCAAGTTTTGTCTTTAAGGAATGAGAGATCCTGCCTCAATATATAACATTAGAAAAAGATGACCCTTTGCATCAGCCTCTGTACACATGCAACCACAGAAAAACATATGTATGCAAAAATTATAAAGGTATAAACTGTATAACTCTACATAATTCCTTAAGACTCCCCATTAAAAGCCTATACAGCACTAAAGTTTTTCATCGCTATCTTCTAAGCATGGTGTTTTGGATAGGGGTTGTAGCATTGATTTTTTTTTTTTTAATAGGAAAGAATGCTCACTTTGCTCCTATAGTACATCACAGTTACTGGGTGTTGAGATTTAGGGTGACCTTCTGACTATCTTAAGCACACCAATAAAATGGATGTGATACTAACAACATCACTGTACAGTACTTGTAACACTGAGCAATGCCAGGCATATTCATGGCTCTTGCTACTGTGATCAAATACTTGACAAAAAAAAAAAAAAAAAAACAACTTCGGAGAGGAAAGATTCATTTCAGCACACTATTTCAGAGGGTTTGGCCCACAGTTTCCTAGTTCTGTGTGTGCAGACAGAATATTGTAGCAGCTGGATGAAGCAGAAGAAAGCAAGTAGGCACCAGAGACAAGATATTGCCAAGAACCTGACCAAAGTAAACGATTCCCTCCAGTGAGGCACTACCAGAACCACATGAGACTGTGAAGTTCTGGTTATTCTGTGGAAGTCTGGACAGGCTTATTTGACTTTCTGTTTGTTATCCAGTCTATATCAGTAATTGCCAAAATACTGTGTGTAAAGGAGTTACTGTTTCTGTTTGTATTCAGTACATTTCAGGGATAATTCTACTATGTGTGTTTCCACTGGGTTATGCTTTCTATAACATTTTATATTTTAAGCATATGATACATGATACTTCATTATATAAAATAAATCTAAAGAAAGTTCTAGATATACAGTAAATGCTGAATAGATGGCTTTAAGTAGTTAACCTTTCTACTTCATCCCAGAGTCAATTTATTTTCACTCTCTCAAATGAGTTTATTTTTCTTTGCTCTTATTTTTATTTGTTTTCTTTTCATTGGAGATGCAACTACTGTTTGCCTTTTACAGTTTCCATTGAAAATAATAAAAATGAATCCTAGTTAACTGACAGACTTGTCATTCCTTTATTGACAGGTTTTGTTGTTCTTATCAGCTTGATAAGAAATTGACTCACATTTAGCATAGTCTATATTTTATTCCACCCAGTAGGCTCAATATCTGTTTTTGCCAGACATGGGTACCAAATGTGATTAGGTATTAACTACAGAGGGCGACCAGATAAACAAGGCCTCTGACCTCATAGAGTTTATCACCCAATCAGATGAGATTCTGCTGTCTGGTGTGTTTATCAGCAATCTACCTAGATTGTTTGAATTTACTTTTTTTTAAAGACGGCTTTAAATCATTTCACTATGAATGACTGATGGGCATCATTTCTGCTTTACAAAGGACTTAACATGATCACTCTGGTTTTCCTCTGACAGCTCTTTCAAGCATTTGATTGGAGGACTGGACGATGTTTCTAACAAAGCATACGAGGATGCAGAAGCTAAAGCAAAGTAAGTGAGACTTGTTTTGGGGACTTGCTTCATCTTGATAAAAACTGACTTTGATAAGATAATACCAAATATTTGGAATTCACGTCAAGTGCTCTGGCAGTAAAAATCTGATTATGTAAAAGAAAAATTAAGCAAACAATGTGCTTGTTACACAGTGCTTACTTAATATGGCTCTTTTCAACATGAAATCCTTTGTGAACATGAACTCAAGCAGGTAAGTGATAGTTTAAATTTTGATGTAAACAATTACAATGAAATATATAATTGTCAGATTTAAAATACCTTCCGATGATATTAGATGCTAAATGTATTTTTTTTAACAAGGATGACTTGCTATAAAACAAAGCTTTGCCAAAACTTTTTGGCAAAGATTTGTTATATTCAAGATTCTTTTGAAATGTAATTTCAAAAACATTAGTTACTTTAAAAAAATAAACAGTGGTCTTCATAATCGTCTCCTCTTTCACTCAGTACAAAGTGACATTTCATATTCTATAGGACAGCAAAAGGATTAAATAGATAAAATTTAGTGTTAAGTCCATAGTTCATGCCAAAATTTGATTACCAAATTTGCAGTGATCTAAAACTCAAAAGAAATAAAATATTTTGCTCTAAGAATCCATGCAAATAACATTCGAACTAGGAGTAATATATCAAGAATTATACTCCATGTTAATCTCTTGAATACATACAGGTATGTAAATAAGATGACTGACAGCCAGCCTAAAAATATGAGCAGCCACTTTAGACTTTCAGAACATAGTGTAGCTGCATTCATATATATATATGAATATTCATAAACATGTGAAATTTGTAGGAGTAACCATGTGAGGGTCTATGAATTCTGACCATTCATGGATTCACTTCCTTACACTGCACTTCTAGGGAGTAAGGAAACAAGTATACTAAAACTAAATGCAGACAGTTATAGACAATTTGGCCATAGTTTGTCACATTGTAATATGAATCTGAACAAAGATGAGAAGCTTTTGCTCCTGCTTACCACACTTGTGCACCACTCCTAACACTTTTCTCACGGCCTCAGTTAGCACTTATTTAAAGTGGTAGCTAATGATGCAATTTAATTGATGACCTTATGGAAAAAACAATCTTCGTAAATTGCAAAGGGCTACAAAGGTAGATGACCTTGTTGAGGTAATCTTTGGAAACATAATTTAGTTTGACAAATGATTCTGAAAACAGATATTAATTAATCTATATATATTATAAAATATTTTACATGAATAAGGAGTTATTAATCTTATAGAATTAAAGTTGTTGTGTTTATAGAATATATCATTAATTTATATTTAGGCTAGAAAATACTCATAGATATCTTTTTATAAAACACTAACAGTTATGGATAAGAATCAAAGACATAATAAAATGTCTTCATCAAGATAATTCCCAATATGTTTATTTGATCAGTAGTTTTGCTAGCCTATTTTTGGACATCATGAGACAAACATACAGTCTTTGGGGTATACAACATGATTTGATATAGGTATCTATTAGAAACTGATCACAGTAATTAATCTAGCCTCACAGAAGTTACTCTTTTATAGGTGGTAAATTGGTCAAATTTGAATTAACTTATTCACTGACCTAATCAATAACCATAGATTTGATGGGAATTATTGATTTGGTAAGCCGTAGATTGGGTCAGCAATCAGAAGAGATCAATTACTAGTCAGATTAGTTACCAAATAAATCAACTATTCACTGGACCAAACTTGGTTATAGAGACCTCTGACTAGATCAGATATTTAATCTGATAAAGGCAGATGACTAGACCACTGTTCAGATGCCCTGCTGATTGATAAGCTGCCTCAGAAGACACATTGTTTAGCAAATTTCATTCAGGATACATTTGTCTTAAATTGCCTGAAGTTACTAAGACCAAGTGAATATACTCTTAATACTCTTTAATGTTAATCATTATTTAGAAAGTGTACATAGTTTGATTCAAAAAATAAACCCTGATCTGAATTCTAAAGAGAACAATAATAAGTTTATTCCTTGAAATTGTTTGATAACAAATGGTAGAGTAGCTGTTGTGATGCCTTTTACATTGTTAGCACTTTATGTAGTGCTAACTAATAATATACGAAGGTGTCTGAAGTTATAGCCATCCCTTAATCAGATGTCCATAACTTGGAGGAAGCTAACTATAAGTTTCCATAGGGTAAGCTTTTTACCTGCACGGGCAAGCTTCAGCATCTGTGTTACTACTATTGCCCCTTTCTTCCATTGGTTTTCTTCCCTCTGAATACATTTTACATTCACATGCTATTTAAGGAACTTTTAAAGGTTCACCTGTACAGTGGAAACTAGGAACAACCTGTAATTGGTTTATATTCTCTGGATGATTCTGTTAATGCCTTTACACACACACACACACACACACACACACACACACACACACACACACACATATATATATATATAAATATATATATATGTATATATATATATATATATAACTATATAGACCACAAAGCCCAGAGCAGGCACAGCTGAGATGATGATTAAGCTCCACTGTGTAAACTGAATTGTTTTCAAGGTCCCCTTTGGTTTTGCAAAAGTCATGAAATTTAAGGCTAATATTTCTTAAATCCCCATTAAAATGATCATGTTACTTACCCATGTAAAATGATTATTTTTCTATGTCTCTTCTTATTTGGAGAAGGAGAAATAAAACAGGAGTGACTTAATAACTCATTCCATTGGGATACTTAAAACTCAGAGGCGAGGGACTCATTACCTCCTTAGCATAACACTCAATAGCAGACTGACTGCCCCAACTGCACATGCTAGTCTTAGAAAACCCACACCAAGCATATAGATCAGACAAGCAGTCCAGGAAAACTGGCTTGAAAGAAACACCCTATTGAAAGGTTTGCAAAACCTCTTTTACTGAAAGATACCTGTCTTCTGCCTATCCCATGATACATTTTTTCTTAATTTATTTTCGATAGAAACTTTACTTTTATGGCATGTTCAACTTTTTTTAATTGCTGATAATCTTGACTAAAGACTTTGCTTTGTAAAATATGAGTTATAGCCACAAAGATTGGGAGAAACAATATAAAATCAAAATTAAGGATCACTGGCCATCACTAGAATATAAAGTAGCATGTGTCCATATCATTTTTTGCTGTAAGGACACTCATTTACTGAATAAAAAGCATCTCTAACTTTACTTAGCATGACTTTATATTGTACTATATAGTGTGCAGAGCTGACCAAAACACATTTTACAAACTAGGGAATATTTTGTAGTTTGAAGGAAAACTGATATATAAGTCAGTGGTTGTTTTCACCCCATACTTTTCAGAAAATGTTATGGCAACTATTGTCATACAATTTTGAGTATCCTACCTCTATCCATGTATAAGGCTTGTCTTTTACAATCACAGTTGTCCATAAATATAAAAGAAAATGTTTTACTTCATTATTTTAAGTCTTTTTGACAGAAGAATCTGATTTATTAAATTATATGTTTTATAGTTAGCATATCATCGATGTATTTGCTGATAAACATTATACTCAGAGGCAAAAGAACTCCTTTTCCTAAATAAATATTCTAATTCATATATAGTGCACATATACATTCAACTTAGCTTATCATAAAAACCTTTACAGCAAAAATTATACTCTTAGCACAACTCACATTAGCCATCATTATATTCCCAGTTTGAAAGCATAACGTGGGCAAAAAAATGTAATGCTGTTTTTATTATAAATAAGCCTTATTTTTGTTAAAATGTTTTATACCTTTACTTTTTTATAAAAATCATATGGCAAGATAGAGAAAGAAAAAGAAAACCAACCAAGCCGATCTAACATGTGCTCCTAACTGCCTTTGTGTTTTCCTGACACTGACATGTTTCCCATATTGCTTTTCTCCATTTGGCTTCATCACATTGTAAACATACAAGAGCATTCTCTGTTCTGATGACATCTTTGCAGTTCTGCCTATGAACACGGTGAATGGAAACTTAGTTTTCTAGATTGACTCAAGAGAAAGCCTTACCAATTCAGTTCATTCTTCTTTTGAATATAATCTAGACTCCCTCTGATAACTCACAGTCCTCCATACACTGCTCTTACTCATGCTCATTCCTTTCTTTATACACATTGATTTGTTCAACAGATAACTCTCTACATGCCTACAACACCCCCCCCAATAAAATAGTGACTAAAACAGGCACATTCTTTACTTTCATGATGTATTTGGTTCAGTGTGAGAAAGACAAACATTTTGACAAGATTTCTATGATGGAGTAACATTTTCAATACATTCGAACTGAATCCTGAGTAATTAGCAGATGCTAGGTATGCATTAGTTGAAGTGGGCTGGGCAAAGAAGTCCAGAGAGAAATTGTAGAATAAGAAGCATTCAAATGGCAAATGACAACTAAAATATAGAAGGAACCAGTGAAAATGGAGAATAGGCAGAGCCTGAGGCTAGGGATCCATTCTTGAGAAATTTAACTTTTAAAAGTCTGGAGAAACAATCAAAAAAGTCAGAGACATGAGAGGTGCAAGGAAAACCAGACATGTCTGCTGCACCAAAACCAAGAACAGAGGAATGAGTCTTAGTCCTTTGGGGTTGCTATGCCAAAATGGCAGAATAAGAAGACAAAAGTCACTAAGACCCTCCTGGGATAGCCATGTTTCTTTGTTCCCCACCCCTTCCGCTGTAAACCAAATTAGTTCACTTCTATACCTTGTTCCCTAAATGAATATGTTGGGTTTTAGGGAGAGAGAATAGGGGATGTTCAAGGAAGAACCATTGACCCAAATCATCTTTTAGATGAGAGCTTTATTAAAGGAGAGTTTCCACCTTGCAGAATAAAGCAAGGTGTGTCCTACTTTTAAGATTGCCCAGGAAATAAGGAGGTCTTGCGCAGACCAGCTGCAAGCTAAGTTAATCTGTGAACTACGTTACAATTCTGAGGTATATGGTACTCATAATACATGGCAAGAGTCATTCT